GAGCGCCATCCTGCGAGAAGCGGGAGGCGAAGGCAGAGCCCGACGTCGTCTGCTACAGCGTTGGGATCTGGGCAAGCCGCTGCGAGAAGAGGGAAGCAATGCTGGAGCCAAACGTCCCCTTCCTAGCCACCACCGCGCGCTGGGAGAAGCGGGAAGCAAAGTTGGAGCCCGACTCTATCTAGCTACGCTCGCTAGAAGCAGCGCGTGCGAGAAGTGCAGGGGCCAACGAACGGGCTCCGGCGCGAAATGGCAGGGCACGGACGAGCTACCCTCAGTTACAGTGCAGAGATCAGCCCGTTGTGCGAGAGCAGGAGTGGAGGAAATCCACTCGTGCGAAAAGGGGGAAGCAAGCAGGCAGTGGCAGCGTGCTGCCACGGCGTGTCTCAGTGTCCTGGGGGCGATCCTCGGAAAATCTCTGGGCGTTTGAATCGATTGGGGGAAGGGCGACACCCGACCACCAACCGCCTTCTCTGATGCAGCCCCATGTCGCCCAGGAGAGGCCTGGGGGATGGTGCTGTCTCATCGTCGTCGGTCGCGCTCTCTTGCTCATGGCGCGGCAGATCAGGATAGCAGAACCCTCATAGCAGAATCCTCCCCCCCCTCCTCCCCCTCCTCGTCCTCCCCCTCCTCGGGTTCGGTTCCGTGGGCGTTTTTCTCTGGGGGATGGATGATCCCATGTGCTCTTCGATGGTCCTCGCCGAAGGAAGCGGGCCGAAGGAAGCCGGCGCGCGCCCGAGCGATGCCAAGGAGCCGCCGAGGGGGAGGGCACGCGCAGGGCACGAGGGGCGGGCGGCCGGCGCAGGGGGCGCGGCCTCGGGGTCGTGCCCGCAGCGCGCCGCGGGGCGAGCGGCGAGAGGGGCGAGGGGCGGCAGCAGGGAGACGAGCGCGTTGCGCGCCCCGCAAAGGAACTGCAGTCAGAAACCCTAAGGAGGACGCGCGGTAAGGACGCGAGACCCTTGGAAGCCGAAGTTGGGACTTTTGGGGCGGCGGGCGACGAGAACCCCAGGGGTACCCTGACAAGCGGGCAAGCGAAAGAGTTTCTGAGGGCGTGGACTTGAGCTCGCTCAAGCTTCGCTCTGCAGGGGGGGGGGGGCGTGCGTTATTTCCGGCGTCATTTCCGACGGTTTTCTGTACCTGGGATTCTTGCCGACGTCATTTCCGACGTTTTTCGGTCTCACCCCGCCCCCCCCGGATCGGCGGCACTGGCCGGAGGCCAGCCCAATACCTACTCGCAGATGGCCTTTCGATCCCCCGCGAGGGATCCACGATGAATGACATCAGAGCAGACATGTGTGCTTTTTTCTGGCGTTTGCGGGCAGGCACGTTGCGAGTAGTGGAACGCGCTCGCAGTGGAGGGGGCACGGGGCACGGGGCAGCGGCAGAGGGAAGATAGGGATAGGGGAGCGGCACGGGGCTCGGATCGGCGCTGGACCCCCCTCCCTGGCGCGCGGAGCGCGCCAGGGGCGGCGCTGGAGGCGCCGCCAGGGGCCCCAGCGCCGATCCGAGAAATCCGCGCGGACCTCCGAGTTTGTCTGTGTATGTCACTGCTCGTTTCCCCGAGGAGAGGCCTTGCCGATCCAATACTTTGCCGAGACCCGCACCACGAAGCTCAGGCGGATGTCCTGCGCAACAGGCGAAGGCGGACCCTTCCAAGACGCCCCCTCATACTGCTGGGGCCTCCGCCGTCTCGACCACACTTTCAGTCGGGCATGTCCCTCTACAGGGGGGGCATGTCCCTCTACAGGTGTTTCTAGTATTCTGTGGATATGTTTGAAAATATGTTTGGAGTATGTTCAGTTTTTCGTCCCAAATCCTCCTGTAGGAGGACATGCCCGACCAAAGACCACGCTGAATCACCCCTGTCGCGTGCTCCTCGCCCCCCTCGCAGAGGGCAAAGTGCCCGGCAACGCCTGCCGGGTCTGCCCGAAACGCCGGCCCCGAAAGCCCCAGCAGCGGCACACGCTGGCATCACACCACGGCGTTGCGATACCCATCGGTCGGACGAAGTAGGTAGAACCATGAAGTACGAAGGCACTTGAAGTAGATTGGGCCTCCGCCCGCTCCCTGATGTGGAGGGAAGAATGAAGCCAGTCGATCCTTGAAGTAGGAAGGCGCCAAAAGAAGATTGGAATCTGGGAATCCAGAAATACCTACTTTCAACGACCGATGGGTACAGGCATTGCACTCGCGTCAGGAACAATGAACAAGGAACGAAGGGGCTTCTCTGGCCACGGCAAGCCTAGGCTTCGACTCGGACCCCTGCCCGATGTCCACCAGAGCCCCTTTTCTGAGCCCAAAGGGGTCCTTCTCTCAGCGCCCTGACTGTACCACTTTCCAGCTGGCAGCCCTTCATATTCTCTGCGCTGGGCGCCATCGCAGGCGAAGTGGGAGGCTAACAGCGACAGCGGCCGATCGAGAGGGCGGGGGCTGCGGGTGGCTCGGGGGCGGGATGGTCCATATCGTCATCCGCAGACCCGCTGAGATCCAGCGCGTTCGGCCGGCCAGGTCTAGCTTGTCAACGATCAGCCCCCGTCAGCTGTGGATGTGGCAGACTGCGCGGTGACCTCGGAATCCCAAGAGACCTCACCGCACGGTCCGACACGGCACGGTCTTGGGACCCTGGAGGCCCCCGTCGCCCGAGACATCCTCCGACAACGACCCGAGTCCCAAAACCGTTCGGTGACCCCGAATCCATACTGTGTGTCGGCGGCGAGTCCAGGGGGGAAGTGAGAAGGAGACGGCCTTCTCAGAAGGCTTGGGAGTCCTCAGGCCGTCTGAGAAGCTTGCTAAACCGTCCCCAAAGACATAGAAAACGTCTCAGAAGGCGCGAGGGCTTGCGGGAAGTCCCGCCGCCTACTGAGAAGGCCATCTCCTTCTCACTTCCCCCCTTCGCTCGCCGCCGAATGAGATTACCACAGCGTTCGGGGCCCCCGAGTCAGGTGATGCCTAGATCTTGACGGGGGGGAGGGAGAACGAGGAGGCTGGCCATCTCAGCCAACTCAATGAAGCGGCCAGCGGGATCAATTAGAGTTGCCTCCACGAGCGACGCGGAGCAGAAGATGTGTTACAGCGGCGACAGAACAGGGATGTGCGGACAGCGGTAACATTGCGAGCCTGGGAATCAAATGTCGGCAGACACGTGCACGGCTTCAAAGATGGGAGCATCGCGGTGGCAATCTGAACGGTCGCAGACAGAGGGGGCTGACCAGCGCAACATTCTGCGGTATTTCTGTCACGCCGTCACGGAGTCTGTGCGCTGCCGAGTCCGCTGCATACAATACTGCACGTTAAACCATCCGCCTTGGCGCTTACACACATGAAAGCACGTGTCAAGTGAGCACGCACCGAACGCAGGTTCGATCGATACCCCAATCTGCGCAAGTACTTGTTGCGTATGGTGGGTCCGACATTCACTGCTGTTCACTTGCTTTACACCCACATGGCCTACTAGAGCCAGTGGCCAGACAACACAAAGAGAACCCTGAGCTCAAACCCTTAAACGGGGAGAACTGGTCGCCGCGATGTTTCCGACGACGACAGCAGCAACAAACGTCCTCTCGACCTCCGTTCGCAGACCCCACCTTCACTGCCAGGGTCCTTCCTGGCCAGTTTCACGAACCGCGCCCAGCCACGGCGACGAGAATGTCTAGGGTATCCAAAAACCTATGCGGGCGACGACGACGACGACGGCGACGACGCCGCCGCCGCCGGCAGCGCCGATGGCGGCGGCGATGAAGGCGACGACGGCGACGACGGCGACAACGGCGACGACGACGACGACGACGACGACGGCGACGGCGACGACGGAGACAACGGGGCGGAGGAGGAGGAGCAGCAGCAGGAGGCGAGGAGGAGCAGGAGGAGGAGGAGGAGCCGGAGGAGGAGGAGGAGGTTCGGGAGGAGGAGGATCAGGAGGACTGCGCCGACGACGACGACGACGAGGGCGAAGACGACGACGAGGGCGAAGACGACGACGACGGGCGGCGGCGGCGGCGGCGCACCGCTGCATCGCCTCACCGCCACAACGGCCGCGAGGAGGCTGCCGCAAGGCCCGCCGAGGGGCCGCCCGAGGGAGCAGCGAGGCCCTCCGAAGCCCGCCGAGGATCCTCCGGGGGCGACCGCCGGGCCGAGGCCAGAAGGACATGCCCCCGAGAACGCGAGGCTCTCCGCAGGGCCAAAACAGGCAGAACATCCAAGGGCACCCTCCCCAGGATGCACAAGAGCATCCATCGAGCGCGCAGAACACCAGGGTGCCCTGGCCGAACCGGCCTCGGCCTCGGCCTTGCATTTGGGGGCGGAAAGATACGGATACGTGTTGTCCCCGGACCTCTCTTGGGGTGCGTTCTGACCAGAATTTCGAGGCGAATCCAGCGGTGACGACGAGGATTCCCCAGGAGGACCAGGAAAGGCCAAAAACGACGGGGGACAACACGTATCCGTATCTTTTTCTCCCCCGATTGCACCTCGGTCCGACTGCATGCCGGCCCCTACCCCAGGCTTCGTGGAGCGCTCGAGCGGGCCAGACATCTGGGGCCCCACCCCCCGGGATGCAAGGTGGGGGGGCGTCCATCCTCGACGGGGCTGCGTCCACCCTCGAGAGGGGGTAGCATGAGGAGGAGGAGGAGGAGGAGGAGGAGGAGGAGGAGGAGGAGGAGGAGGAGGAGGAGGAGAGGAGGAGGAGGAGGAGGAGGAGGAGGAGGAGGAGGAGGAGGAGGAGTACGGAGGAGGAGGAGGAGGAGGAGGAGAACGAGGAGGAGGAGGTCGTCCTTCCCTGAGCGGTGTTCCTTCTCGTCGAGACGTCGGGGCTCTGGGGGAGCACCGCTCGCCCGTGCGAGGGGCCCGCCGAGGTCCCGCCCCGAGGGCGCTATCCGAGGCCCGCCGAGGGCCCGCCGATGGGGCCGCCGAGGCGCGGCGGCGGCGTCCTCCGCCTCGCAGCGCGTGGGCGCCTCGTCCAGCAGCGCGGCCCGCAGCCGCTCCCCCAGCGCGTCCGGGCCGCCCTC